CTTGTCTCCTATACTATTATTAGATCGGCGGTTCCAAAGATTCTTTTAACGAATCGAATGTAGGGTCGTTCTTTCTTGCTTTTACTAATCAAAAGCATAACTGAACCCCCGATTCGGATTCTAGGTAGTTTTTGGAACCTGCACACCTTTATATGCAGTTCAACTGCTGTCGAAAAAGAGTTTTCGGCACAGGTCAAGTTGTCAAACAAATCAGATCTAATTCAGAGCCAACAACTGTTAATAATATCTTATTTCTTTGTTCGATAGAGGATAACAAAGTAAAAGATTGATTAATCTCGAGCTGTATCTTTTTTGTGCTCCTGTGTCTAATTGTTGTATTCTTGTGATCTTGTGGCTTTTTTTGTAATATGTAGTCGAATAAATCACATGATCAAAATATACAAGAATCCTATAGGCACCTAACAAGGCAGCGAAGAAAAAAAAATTTAAGGTCGGCGCGGGACGGGGCCGAGCGGGGAAGCGAAAACAAAATTTAAGATCGGGGCGGGGCGAAGCGGGAAAAGCTTTTTTCTGGGCGGGGCGGGGCGGGGAACAAAAAATTCTCCCGTTTCGGCCTCTGAATTCCTACTGAAGAATTGGAATTGGTTGGAATCGGAATTGGTGCATCCCTAATCGTGACTATATCGAGTAGAATAAAACTTTTCAAAGTTTTTGAACTTATTTCCTGGAGGAATAATCAAAACTTTCAAATGTGCATATCATGTCGCTTTGTTTAGGTTTACTCATTCGTGCGGTATTTGTCTCTAGTATCTTTTACAGCTACATGCAGCAGTATATCTGGCTGCATAACAGTCATTTTTTTGTTTGAATGAATGAAATCTTGACTAAGCTCCCATCCTTCCATGCAAGATTCATCTGTGTAGGAGTCTTATGGTGGATTAAGCATATTGACAAAACTTTTCTGGAACGTTCGTTGAAATTTATCAGCCGAGAGCTGAGCATCTGTAAAAATAAGCTTTACTAGGAGCAAAATATTTTCACTGTACCCTCCATGCGTGAATTGCTTTCCTGGGAAGGAGTAAGAGAGTTTTTAGACATCCTCTTAAAGGCATATCCGTGTTATCGAAGAATCGTACCTGTTTATTTCGTTCGAATGGTTTCTACCATCATCATAAAACCATATGGGGTATGTGTGACGATAAATTGATAAAAGGCATATTGGTGCTGCTGGAGTTACACATTACGCTATACCTTCATATCATATAATCGTCAACTGTGACGATTTTCAGATAGAAGAAGTACTAGCATTAATGGAATTGTGCTTTATTGAATTTTTTCGTATAATCAATCGCATCGTTTACATAGAAAACGCACGCTTATATACGCAACCAAAAGAGAAAAGGATAGAAAGAGAAGAGAAGAGGAAGAAAGAAGGAGAGGAATATCTGATTAACAGGAAGACTAATTAAGAAAGAGAATGGATATATCGATGCTGTCACAATCGCCTTGACTGAACAGAAGGAAAGTAGACGATAACCGCTTACAAGAAGAGAGTGCTTGAGAATGATGCAAGTTTGTCCACTATCTTTTCCCAAGTCAGGAACAATGATAAATTCTTGTTACATGATTAATGAGAGATAGTACTTGATCAGCTTTGTATCTAATTTAGTTTTGTCCCTCTTGTTGGCACAGTATGGATGTGATTGTAGTATCAATCTTACTACCCAAAAGTACACCGAGATTCACGCCACCACCCATTGATCCATCCACCTACAATTACATCCACAGCCTGTAAAAATCGCATGACAAAAGCCTTTAGGGTATTATTTTCAAATGTATGTGGAAAACTCATCGTACTAATCAGCTGTTAACAAATAAAATCCGACAAAGTTTTAAACTCTCAAGCTTTTTTCAAACGGTAAAAAACGACAAATCTCAAGAAAAAATCGTTAGTCTTATATTTTGCTACGAATAGGAAACCATAACGGTTCTATTTGTTTTGCCTCTGGAGCTATCATATGCTTCGCTCAAGTCAGGTTACAATGAGTTTGGCATGATAGAATAAATCGAATATGTTAATCTGAAACTCAGTATATAGCGAAATTTTAATCAACGAGATCCAAGATTCTAAACGACAGGTACTGTTGGATATGTACTTGAGAAATAGGCCGAAGCGGACCGGTCAGTCTACCGGCAGTAGATCACTTATCAAAACGAAATAGTATGCCACATAGAACTCCCACGAGTTACCAAGTTATTGCGTATGGCAGAACTAGGAATGCAACGCTTATACTAGTGTTGAAGCCAGTCAGCTTATGAAGAAATTATGGCGATTACCGATGGATTAGTACTGCTGCTGGCTTCTCCTAATAGAAATGCACCTGAATAATATATGTAAAACAAAACCATGATCACCGTAGTATTTTTACGCTTTGGCAACTTTCACTTATCTAAACAATAAAGTTAGAAAGTGGAGTGCATATCCAGCCCTACTGAGAAGCCTGTTCACTATTACATAGTAACATTCCATAGGCGACTTGATTTTCAGGTGTCACATCTATATAGCATAAGGCTTTTTCGTTGAAGTTAGGGAAAATCAATTTCCCAATAAAATTGTTAAATTAATGGTTGCTTAATTAGAACAAGCAGCCTCAGTCTTTATTAAATAAATATTTTTGAATCAATATTGTCATTTTCAGAGACTATTCTCTTCTTACAATAGAAGATGCCGACTCTTCCACTATGTTGATTAGAATTGCATTGTTTCCGTCACGGGGCCTTCTATTTGTTTCTACTCCATTGTGCAAGTTTTAATTAAAGATAGCTTTTAGAAATCCAAGCATTTGAAACGGTTGCGAAACAGTTGCAGACCGGTAATAGACCGACTTTGAACCGATATACCGGCTGGTAACCGGTACTGAAGCCATTTCTGAGGTACTCTACTAAATAATAACCCTCCACTTAATAGAAGAAGACTCGTCTTGGCAAAAAGCATGAAAGACCTATTAGAGGATCCGAGTCTCCTAAGTGTGAGGTAGAAGAAACCTTGCTGTATTTATAGCAAGTGAGAAAAGCAGACTTCTGTATTTCTTCTTACTTGTCCATATTTTACCATATTTCTTCGTATTTCACAATAATCCATGGTACTCCTTGATATTTCTTAATAATGTTCGGCGTTTCTATACTGTTTTATACTTCTGATGTTCTGAAGTATGTTTCGTTCGCTTAATTTATCCTAGATCATACTTGTTGTGTTCAAATACTCTTTAGTGAATTATGGTAACACAGAACGATGTTTCTTGCGTGCTACTCCAGAAACGACCACAATGGTTTTTAGATGGGCGAGAAGATCCCTGGATTAATGATAGTATCAGTTCAACGGATTGGTTAAATTACAATGATATACAAAATGAAATGATTGAGGAAGCTTACCAAAACAAAAAGCCGCGTGTTGAGTTGGATGGTTATATAATAGATTTAGAAGTGATGATTCAACTCAATATCGCTGATCAGAACAAACAGCGTCGAGTATGTCGCGTATCAGAAGATGGGGAGACAGTCACATCTAAACTTAGTGGAAAAAATATACGCATTCCAAGCTATTTTGGTCGCGCAAAACTCGATATTGGACGTTTTTACGTTGAGCCAAAACTAGCTGAAAAGACGCTCGGCGAATCGAATATTTGGCAGTGCCCTCTCGTCGAAGCATGGGTGAAGCGCAATCCTCTCTATGCAAGCAATTCAGCAGACACACTCAAGAAGATAGCTACTGGCATTAAAGAAGAAGGAAAAAATATGAATCCTTCAAGGAAACTGGAGGCTAGATTCATTGCTAAAAAATTAAACCAATTCAAGGAAAAGTCTCTTCATGAAATTATGTACTTTTGCGTTTCTCTCTACACCTATGAATCATTTCTCTACAAATTGGTCAATGAAATTTTGAGGGCGAATGATATGAGAAAGGTCGATACACTCGGGCCATTTTGTTGCATGCTAAGAGACTTTCTGCATGAAGATGAAGATGCTATTGACGAGACTGTGTATCGAGCCACAAAGCTGACACGAGAAGACGTTCAACAGTATAAGAATTCTCGTGGTAAGATCAAGTCATGGCTAGCGTTCTCTTCAACGAGCAAAGATCGCGAAACAGCCAAGACGTTTGGAAATGCTCTATTTGTTATTGAATTGATGTATGACACATCTCCATGCTATCCTGGACGAGACATATCTTCGTATTCGATGCATCGCAATGAAAAGGAAGTATTGTTGTTTCCTGGAGTGAACTTTCGTATTGATAGCGTGAAGAAAGCGCACGAGGATGATTTAGACTACATTATTCACTTGTCGTTAATTTAAACAATAACTATTTTAGTACGCTGAAATGTAAATGTTTCGTTTTCGCTCGTAAACCTTCTTGCTTCTCAAAAACTATATCTTTCTTATCCATATTATTATAATATAGTCACATCAACGCCTGTCGGTAGGATTGTCAGAGCAACAACGAACAAGAATGGAAGGATTAGATTATGTTTAAATTAAAAAAACCAACATACCCATATATCAGACTTTCTATTCGACATGATGCTTGTCCGATTTCGATGTAACATTTTTTGCTATGTAAAATCTATTTTTTTTAGTTGATTTGTAAACCTGTGTTGGCGTTTTCTTACTCGTGGTAGTAAGTGAGTGACAAATTATTCTAAGATTTCAACATTCTAGATTTGTGTTCTTTATCTTACTGAATTCGGTGAAATTATAGTTCATCTCAATCATTCAACTAATAGAGTTAATACTGTGATCAATATCTAAAAATTAGCATCGTGCGATACTGATCACGTTGTAGATATGTAAGTTTTTATTTTTTTACATATTTATTTACATGTTACAAATACGATGCGATCCACATTCAATAATATTGTTCGTGAATTTGATTACCTTAATAATAAAATAAGAAAGTTTGAATATGTAGTATAATTGTTATGAATCCTAATTTATTGATATTCATGTTGTAGAGTCGACAAAATCTTAAATCACTAATAATGGCACATTCACATCGACAACCAAAGGTCAATATGTTCGACTTAATGCAACAAATAATAAGTTCGGCCAAATATGCTCGTGAGTACAAAAAAGAGTGTGAAGCTCTATCTCAATGCATTGTACGCTTGCATGATAAATTGACTAAATCAAGCGATCGGTTACGCCAAGAACTAGGGAATGAAGCATTTGACAAGAATTCGAAACATCTTTTGCGTACTTTGATAACAGTTCAGAAACTCGTGTCGGAATGTCAAAATCCGAATACGACATTACAAGGTGCCAAGAAACTTATTGCTAAGAAAACTCTAGAAAGTGATCTCGACGGTGCTAAATTAACTTTGATAAATATTGAGGCAGATTTTACCTCTGATCTTCAAGCTAAAAGAAAAATTCTTTCGCTGGCACTACAAGAGAAGCAAAATACCAATAGAACTCGTCAAGAAGCATATAAAAAGGAACATGTTTCAGCACTATTAAATTTGATTGGAACAGAAACAGCAATTTTCGCAAAGAAAAATCTTGGCAAACTTTATTCGCAACACAAGGATATCATCAATCTTTACTTAGAGCAATGTGAAAAACTTCATACTGGAGTGCCCATTACAGGATTAGATCAGACGGTTGATAGTTTTGTCAAGAAGGTTCATAAGTCTGCCGACTTTAAGTCTGAACCTGTTATGATTGATCAAGTTCGTAATATGAGTTTGCCAGTCGAATCAGTTTACATTCATTTGAAGGCCGACCATTCGACGACGTTGGAACGTGATCAAGCTCGGAAGTTAATTTTAAACAATCAAGAAGATGATGACAGAAATGTTGATCCATATGATCGAGAAATGTCGATGGGAGTTGCTTCAGCAACTATGATGGAATCTTTCATGGAAAGAGATCGATTCCATAAGAAAAAAGAAGATGATCCGTTCGATTTTCAAGAGATATTACGTAATAATCGATGGATTGTTATACTTGGTGACCCAGGTAGTGGAAAAACGACATTTGTTCGATGGCTCGCATCGAAATATATCAAAGATGTATCGAAAAGAAACGAAGCAGTAGACAAAGATGAAAGTAATGAACAAATGCACGGACGTGATAGTACATCAAGTGACGATGACAGCGATGATTCATCAAAGAAAAAGAATAAAACTAGTAACAAGAACAACATGGATGAATCTTTGGTTGCTGGATCTACTCGAATGCCGATTCTAATGCGTGTCGGTGAATTCGCCCAAGAACTAGCAAAAAATTCTGATTTATCTCTAATTGATTATATTGGTCATCACACATGGATGGGAAATCCGATGATCGATTTTCGTACTGAACAGAAGAAGGAGAAGGAGAAGCAGCAGCAAAAGCAATTGGAAAAGTTGAAACAAGCATTACATGATTATATCAAACTAGGCTATGCGCTTATTATCCTAGATGGACTTGATGAAATTCCCGAAGCAGATAAAAGAAGTAATGTTGTACGTTTGGTAGAAGAATTTGTTGATTCATATGTTCCAACCCCAAAACATGTTACTGTTTTGGATTCTCAATTTTCCGATAGAGAACTTGATATTCCATTTCAAGCTGGTGGTAATCAACTTATCATCACGAGTCGAATAGCGGGCTATCATGTACGACCATTGAACGGTCAATTTTCTCACTATACCATTCTAAGAATGCATATGGATTATATGAAAGAGTTTGTCGATCATTGGTTTCAGACAGTTCATCAACAGATGAGTGACATTTTAAATCTGAATATTTCACCTGAGGATATAAAGCAAATATGCGAAGTACAGACTGATGCGATGAAAACACAATTAGAAAAGTTCAAAGACAGTGCCTTAGGTCAAATGGCATCAAATCCTTGTTTACTGAATTTTCTTTGTCTCATTGCGCTTCAAACACCGGAGGCCGAATTGCCTGCTGAACGCATCTGTTTGTACGATAGGATAGCGAAAATGATGGTAAAACTGTGGTCATCGAAAGAAGGAAGGGGTCTTTCAAGAAATCCGAATATAGTCGACCGGCTTATATGTGATATTGCAATCTATATTCATCAGAATTTTTCAAGTGGATTAATTGGAAAAACAGATTTTCTAACAGTGTGTCAAAAATCTCTTCAACCATTTTGTGAAACAAAAAAAGAGAGCGAGATGGAACAAATTGCGAATCAATGCATTGATGACTTTAAAAGAAGTACAGGTATTCTTATCGAGCGAGGGCAATATTTGTATGGCTTTTTACATTTGACACTACAGGAGTATTACACCTGTAAAAGTATGGTAACTATTAATAAAAGACTGGATCGACCGCAAGTGCTCTTTAATATCTTTCAAGAGCAAATACTCGATCCACGATTTCGTGTTCCACTCACATTAGCCTTGGGTTGGGTGAGTTGGAAATGGTCGAAAAAACGACAAACAGAAACAGAATCAGAGTATGACAAGTTTTGTGAAATTCTTTTCAAATCAAATCATGCTTTATCAGGCTATTTTCCAATAGAAATACTAATGTTTCTTACGTCGATGAAAGAACTGAAAAGTTTGCCATCGAAAAAGCAATTATTCACCGTTTTTGATCGCCTCTTGTCAATAGCTTCTCAAAATAATTGGCATAAATTGTTCTCTGATCTTGAAAAACGAATGGCTGCTGGCTTGCTTCAACTACCACCAGAAATGATACAAGAATGGATTAACCGAGTATTTTCGTCGAACGAATCGACTGTTAAATCGATCACTAGTGTTTGTTCTCTATTACGTGAATGTGAACGATTAGTTTATACGAGTAGTAACGAGAATTTGAAGATACTATTTAAAAGTTGGGCAAATAAAACTGTGTGTGCATCGTTACTCAACCATTTATCTCATGATACTATCGACAATGAATTTGCAATCGATGAAATATTGGCTAATATTGCCATTTCAAAGTCTGAGTCTCTCTTCTCGAATGATCTTGGTAAAATGTTCATCGACAATCCAACATGTCTAACGAGACTTAGTTTACCAATGTTAGCAGCCATCATTGCTCTTTATGGAGGCTTGACATTTTCGAATAAAAGAATGCAACGAGAATTAAAACAATCATTCGATTATAATGGTAACATGGTGACGTTCGCTAATTTCTCTGTTATTTTTTCACCAAAATCGATGCATCGAAAATCTTCTCTCACATCGTTTCTTATAACTTATATTCGCGATCGATACGTCAAAAACAATGTGCGAATTCAATCCGATTTCACTAATCACATTCAAGAAAAAGCAAAGAAAATCTCAATCGAGGATCAAAGCTTAGAAGCAGTTGATACTTTCATTCTTATGTTCTGTATTATTGGTGTCGATCAACCTTGGCTATTTAAAACTTTTGTTGAACATAAAGCATTTTCACTTGCCATAGATCGTTTCAAACGAATTGCTAACTATCTTCGACAGCTATACTTTATTCCAGAGATATACAATCGATTTCAGAGTAGCATCAGTAGTAAAGATAGTCTCTTGTCGAATTTCAACAATTTCGATAAGTATATGTACAAACAATGTACAGTTAATCGAGATTCAACACGATTGATCGAACTGTTTGTGAATTGGTATCGTCCGCTCGAAACAATTCCTAGTCAATCATCGCAAAAAAGTCTTGAAATTTTATTCATTTTTATCGATTTAATTTGTCGAGGACGTGCACGACTCTGCACAACCACACGTACTTCATTGACAAACAAATGGCTGTGTAAGACCGATCAAAGATTTTTACTGTTACCGAAATTTTTTCAAAAAGCAGTAAATCTACAACAGTTATTCGACCATCGATCAACTCCATCATCTGTCTCCAACATTGCACTTCCGATGTTTTTACGTTCGTTATGGATATTCAACGACATTCAACATGGTGCCGATATTTCTGAAGTAACAATTGACAAAGCAGAATATTCCATGCTTCGCGAATACGATAAAAATCATTTTTTTGCACTGGCATTTGTTTCAAAACACTTAGAATATCTATATTTGCGTGCTATCCAACAAGGATATATCACACTAAAACACCCGTACAAGAATCAGATTCGAAGCGAAAAACCGACACAAACTCTTTCGTTTGCTCATATACTTTGTATTAGTTTACTCTCTGTCTGCAAACCACCAGTCTCATATGCTAGTCAATCTGCTTTGATTGCTCTTTTACCACTTTGTCGCATTTATCAACTGGAACATTTGGTTCTTGCTCTTCTCTATTGGACAAACAAAGTATCAACCCATGATCCAGGAGCGGTGAAATGGTTTTTTGAAGAAATGCAACGAAAGACAGATGATGAACATTTTTTATATACCGATGGTTACGACAAACTGTCTGAAGTTGAACGTGTTGAAATATCTGATGAAACTGTAACCAATGGAATTAAACATGCTATTGAACAAGAGACACATCGTTTACAGAATGCAATCAAAATATTGAAATCACACGACAGAGAACAAGAAGGAAATGCAATACTTTTCGCCGCGGCAGTCTCATTGGGGAATTTATGCTGGTCCTCATCATCGGATGATGCAAAACAATTGTTTAAAAAAGTTATGAGTGCAGTTCAAAAGATCACCGATCCGATGGTGCGTTTAGATGCAATTAACATACTGGCAGTTTGTCCTTTTCTTCTTATGTCTGAACACTCAGTCGAGAGTCATTACATTATTGAAGATGAATTGAAAAACTTGTCGACAAAAACTTTTTCGGAATTACCACAGAATCTATCACCATTATTATTTGTACCATTCTTAGATCGTCATATTACATTGATCGGCGCACATAAGAACATCATTGATCGAATTTGTGGTATCCTAGATGGAATCAATCAAATGAAAGATGAAAATGATCGGCATGCTATTTCAATAGCTCTTGGCGCTTGGATAAATTTGAGTCCGGATATCGCATCTCGCTTGTTTCGTTTCATAAAGAAGTCTACTGATTTGTCTGTCCCTATGCGTAGTCAAATTCTTCAATTCGATTCGCCTTTACTGAGTTATTTAACAGAAGAATCGACAACATCGAAAGGAAATAATCGTTCTTTCTTGGACGGACAAGATCATTCTAAATCTGTCTTCATACTCTATGCATGTCTCTATTTGATAAATTTGTCGAGTGATCTTCAAAAGTTGCCTGTTTATCTCGGTAAGAGTTCATTGATGAACGTCGATATTAGTCGTTTGTGGAATCAGCCCATTGGTCTGTGTCAAGAAAAACGAACTTTGACATATTCACATATCGTTGCTATCCGGGAGAAACTAGATGCGTTGAACGCTTCAGAATCATGTTTGAATGAGATTAATCTACTGGAAAAACAATTACATGATTTCGACCGATGTGAATTGAGTGCACGAAGTTCTCTAGCCAAATGGTTGAAATATAAAAAAACGTCTTATTATTATGCCTTTGCTTCTCATGCAGCACTCATCTTGGCTCGAACTGACACCTGGAACGTTGATATCGCGAATATTCTTTGTGATTTGCTTGTAACTGATAGCAATCGATTTAGTCAAGAGGTCGAATCTCTATTTCATCGAAAGGAGAGAAAAAGTAGTGACCTCGGACATGATGTCTTGCTTACATTGATCAAACGATTTGTTTCATTTGAGAAAAAATCTACGCATGCTTCTCTTGTATTAACCTGGCTATTTGAAAAATTAACAATTGATGATACGCAACACTTGCATGCAATTATCGAATGGGAAAATAAGCGTATGGAAGTCAATGATAAGCAAAATACCAACATTGATAATTCGCCTATTTCGACAGAAGAACAGAATTTGTTAAAAAAGTCTTCGCCAATAGCTCGTTATTTTACACGTTTTACAGGCGACGTAATGAAATCATTTACAGAATATATACAATCATTCATTGGCAGTCTACTGAATAGATCTGGTAATAATCGGTTGAAAACTTCACGTCGACAATTTATTTTCGGTTGGTGTGCAAGAATATTTTCTTCTGAAAGTAACAATATCGATAGTATATTGAAGATATTTGAGAATTTATTGAAAAGAGATTTTTCACCGACACTGAAATCTAGTGTAGTATTCGCAATCGGACACAGCAGTACAGAGCAAGCACAATCAATTTTGTTGAAATTAATCAAGCATCAACTTCAAACCGATGTTCCTATTCCAGAAATTGTTTTAGCAATGTCTGTTCAAGCATATTTTTGGTCTTGCTCATGTCAAAAACTGAAATTTTCCGAGAAGGAAACCAACAAAATTGATAAAACAAAAGATAAAACAAAAACTAAAGATGATGAAATTAAAATTGATCCTTTATACATTGAAATGTTAAAGAATGAATCATCAGATATTCAACGTACTGCAAGTAGTGTGTTAGCAACCATTTGTCCAAATGTCGAAAAACTTCTTCAAATCTTCGAAAATGATACTGGATATTGTTATCGATCGCTAATGGAAGCCATTATTCATCCTTCTGATATCAACACAAGAAAAGCACATACGAAATGTGTGGTTGGATTGATTAAAGCAAATAATGATTCAGGTTTATTAAAAATTTTCGTTTCCGAGCTTGTTGAAAGTATGAAAGACGTTGAAACTCAAATCAAGCAATATCCGGATTGGTCAGAAACGTTCAGCAGTATCAATCATATTGAAATCGCTTGTGATCTTGCCGATGAAATGCCAGCTGCGTTCTCCACTGTAATCGATGAAGTGAGTAATAGAGAATTATTTCAACAAAACTTGATTGCTACCAGTAGACAACATGACTATCGTCGACAAAATGCTTGCATAAAATTGACCTCAATCATAGGTGATTTGACTGTTGACGTCTGTAACATGTTCATTGATGCCATTGTCGAAAATCCATCGACTCAAGCCACATGCTATGATTCTATCAAATATTTTAGAAAGCCACGTGATTATCCAAAACGGGAACAAACTCTTCAGCGACTTGATCTACTGTTAGAACAGTTAACGATGGAGCACGAAGATGAGGAGTCACCATTATTTCAACTAAAATCAGCCTTAGAAGACTTTCGATCAGCATTGATTGCACTTAGATCACCACAAAAATATTTGAAATATGCTCTAGAAAAACTAGAATCAATTCTCACTCAATTGAAATTGGATAAACAATTAAAAACAAATCTCAAGCAACTGAAATCAACTTTACAAGACCTAGAACCGATTCTCAATTTATGGGGACCAGCAATGAGTCAACTAGTCAAACATCTAAAATCTGAGTCGTTGAATAAGCGTTGGGCCGCTGCCAATTTTCTGGAGCGACTAGTTCAGTGTAATGTCGTTTCAGCACTTCGTGTACAAGAACTACTTCGAAAAACAATCGAAGATGACAGTTCGAAAGAAAAGCTTTGGTTACGCACAAGTGATAATGTTCAAAGTTTTTACAAATCGATGGGGTCACTTGATCAAATGCTGCGTAAATTATTGATGCGCATGTTTTCAATTGATGAGACATCTATTGAACTAAGAGCGATAGAAGAAAAAAACCGATTATTGGAAGATTTCCAGATAGCGGAAATGAGCGCACAATTAGCATCATGTGTTAACCTCGATGAAGACCCTGATGAGTCTGAAAGTGAATCGGATTCGAACGAATTTAGCGACGTTGATGATTAGAAAATGGAAACTAAACAAGAACGACATTCATTACAACTATTCATAAAATAACTGCTATTATCATAGGATTCTTTGAGTATCAGAATATATTTCTAATCTGAAGTCATTTTCTTCTTTCCTTATGAAAGCCAGAAGAAACTGGTGAGCTTTTTTTCAAGTAGCACGACTTTGTTATGATAAATGTATGTGATATTGAAACAGAAAGAATCGAAGTAAAATATGGATTTTATTACTCGTCACATGTTTTGATATAAGCTAGTCCGCATAAACCAAGACCGGCTCCTATGGACGCTGCTCAATCGAGGTCGTCGGATTTTGCTCAATTTAAGGGTTATTATAGAGAAAAGAGCTTTAAAAATTTTGCCGCAAGCCGTTTTAAAAAAATTTATTCTTTCATATTTTATGAGCATTTTACGAAAATCCCTAACACTCACCATATTCATAAACGAGATCTTAATGCGGTCATATATGAAGAGCAGCTCGACCGAGTGAGCTGAAACTTTTCATACACATAAATCTCAATGAGTTATATTTGCCAGAGAAATTTTGTTGCAAAACAGTGAGCATTCAGGATTTTATGAACCATTCAATATCTGCAAAGAGCCGCATGTTTGGTAAATTTGATCCTTCATAACTTTCGATTGAAATCAGGTCGGGGTCTGATATTTATATAGCCAATAGAGCTGTAAGAAGTGTATGTCTCCTGAACATGTCAGTACCTTGAATAATTCCCATCGTTCAAGAGATTGTCCAGAAAATGATGATTTTTACTTAAACCACGAGGTTTGGAGAGTCCAATCTCCCAAGAAATAAATTCTCCAAAGGGCGAACCTAAGTGGCTTTGACGTACCCACGGTATACTACGAAATTATGAAAAATTCGCGTGGCATCTCTGAGAAAGACCCTAGGAAGCTTGTTGTAAATTCGACAAAATCAATCCCTTCTCTATAGGAAACATCGCAAGGTTTGTTTACAAATTATTTGAAGACTTCTACCTCTTCAGATCAGTTTAGTCTAGGGAAAATCTACACATGTTTCTCTGTAACTTCGCTTAAAAATATCCTTTCAAAAGGAAAACATTTTTTTTCCAAAAAATCCTGTACTCCCCTTCAGGATTTTCTATCCCATACCTTTGATTTCTCGACATCTTTCAATTAGTATGATGGGACGATTCGCAGACACCTTACCCTATCTTCCATACCTGTTTGTAGGAACCATTATTAACTCTAAAATCATACGACTTTTAATTCCATGAGATGCTCACCCATCGAGATGCGACTTGACAAATTGGGTGTATTTGATTAAAATCATGAGCTTCTGAAGAAGTTCCTGAGCCATTGGGACTAGATAGAAATGTCAAAATTGTACCGGGGCAAGTACTGCATGAAGTAATTCTGGAGACCGAATTTCAATTGTCTAGCAGTATTCATTCGATGGTTACTATATGTAAAAGAAGGAGAATAATGAAACGTGTGGGATAGAAAACCCTGAAGGAGAGCACAAGATTTTTTGGAAAAAAAAGTTTTTTTCGTTTTCAAAAGATATTTTTAAGCGAAGTTATAGAAAATCATGTGTAGATTTTCACTAGATAGAAGTCATCGGAAGAGGTAGAAGTCTTCAAGCAATTTGTAAACGAACTTAGCGACGTTTCCGAATAGAAAAGGGATTGATTTTGTCCAATTTTCAATAGGCTTCCTAGGGCCATTCTCAGAGATCCCACGCGAATTTTTTCATAGCTTCGTAGTACCTGCTGGGTACTTCAAAGCCACATAGGTTCGTCCTTTGAGAAATTTATTTCTTGGGACATTAGATCCTCGAAGACTTATGATTTAAGTGAAAATCATCATTTTCTGAATGGCTTCCTGAACGATGGAAATTATTGAAAGAGCTGACAGTTTCAGGAGACATACATCTCTTCCAGCTCTATTGGCTATAGAAATATCAGATCCCGACCTGATTTCAATCGAAAGTTATGAAGGATCAAAATTTATCATAAATGTATCTTTTTGCAGATATTTGATGATCCATAAAATCCCGAGGGCTCATAGGGCTTTTCGTGAAATGCTCATAAAATATGGAAGGATGAATATTTTTTAAAATGGCTTGCGGCAAAATTTTTAAAACTCTTTTCTCTATAATGAGCTTTAAATTGAGCGAAATCTGACGGACTCGATTGAGCAGCGTCTGTGGGAGCCGTTCTTGACTTATATGGACTGGCTCACATGACATTTCTCCTGCTCCTCTTGTTTTCAGTTCAGTTAAGCCTAGACCTTCTCCCACAATAACAGGCCATGGCCTTCTATTATGGTAACACAGATTGCTTCCCCAAAAGTGGCCTTCTATTGTGGACTACTTTTTCGCTAGTATTAATATTTAGAAAATGAAGGATTAAAATAACTGTTTTTGGCATTAAAATAGGCACTGTTAGCAGTGAAATATCGGAAAACCAGATTTTTACTAGGAAAAAATGTAAGTTAATTTTAAAAACCTTCATTTTTTACTAAAAATGCGTTTTTTTTATGCTAAAACGTAAAAAATCTACTTGATTTGTGGAAAAAACTTCTATAAGACGCATGACCTTCTATTACGACTTGTGAACTTTTTCTTGGAGATGACCTTTTATTAATTGAGAGGGGGGAGGAGGAGTTTAGCAGGTTTTTGTCATTTAATTTTTTTGCTCATGTTTGATATGAATATATTTCAACGATGCACAAATCGGCAATACCAACAAGGCATTGCTCAAACTAAAACTACAAATTTCTGCGTGTGAGTGAGTATGAATAGGTATCAGTGTTGAAGGAATTCCCATGTACACATACTACTATACCCAACACCCACACCCTATTTTGTGTACACTGGCTTCGATAAACTCATTGCTTTCTTTTATAATTCTGAACCATGGAAAATGATTCTTGCACTATAAGATAACTGCACGTAAATATAACGTCTCCAGTACCTGTGAAACCATGGTTGAATATAAAAAATGACCCATCCTATGATCTAAGAATCAAATCGAGTATCTATGATTTGTTTTCACAGTGCTCTAGCTCGATGAAATGCTTTAATCAAATAAATATTTCTTTTTGTTGCACATTTGAATCGTATTGATCATTTTAGTTGCCTCTACTTCAATGCACAACATGGACTATATTGAATTGGAATGAAAAAAATAATAAAAACATGCAGTTTGATTGAAGTGATCATTCTGCCTCTAGCGAATTTCTCTTTCGAGCACGTTTCTCTTACACTGGAAAGAAAGCAACTTCGATTTGGCTGCATTCTTTATTATGGCTCACAATGTGAGTAGGTGAGAATTTGTAGTGTTTCGAAACCATTAAAAAGACCTTCTTTTGGCTGTTCACATTTTGCACATGAATTGTAAGTAGAACGTGCAAAATACAATATGACGCAGTTTTGTTGATTCGAGACATACACTGTTGAATTGAAAACTCATGTTTCAGATAGTCTTTCGAATCGATCGATAGGTGAAACATAGACCTGGCATCGTCTTACAATTACAAATATACTCTTGAAACATTTCGTTTGTTTTGGCTCGATGAGAATGTCAATCAAAAAGAAAATTTAGCAGTTCAAGATACATTATCTACAATCATCAACTGTTTACAAGCATTTGAGAAGGAAAACGACTGTATTCAAACAATCAAACAAGTATCTAATGAAGATCGTATCGTCCTTATCATTAGTGGACGAATGGGATGCGAAGTTGTGCCTCGTATTCATGACATGAACCAACTGTCGTCGATTTATGTATATTGTCAAAACGAGACAGCGCATAAAGAATGGGTGAAGAAATTCGTAAAAGTAATTATATTTGCCTATTGTTGTGTATCAATATCAGGTTCTGTGCATCTAGGTAGCGGGAGTGTTCACTGAACTAGACAAACTCATGGATAAAATCAGATCAGATCAAGAACAACGGACACAAGAGGAAGATTCAATGTCGATGTTTAATATTTTCAGTATGAATGGTTCTTTAGATGACACATCGACAGGAATCAATGGTCAATTTGTGCATCGTCAATTACTAATCGATGTTCTTGTTCGAATGAAACCAAATGAAAAAGATAAAACGGAACTGGTCAATTTATGCCGGAAAGAGTATGAAGGTAAAACGAACGAACTGCAAGCATTGAACGACTTTGTCAGAACGTATTCACCTTCTTCAGCAGTTTTGTGGTATACAACAGAGTCGTTTATCTACAACATACTCAACAAGGCTCTACGCGTATTAAATATTGATCTACTTTTTTTATTTCGATTTTTTATTCGTGACATTGAGTTTCAGTTGCGTCAAAATCAGTTTTCGTCTCGTATCGAAGTTTATCGCGGTCAAAAAATGTCAAGATGTGAATTGGAAAGGTTAGAAAAATCGATCAATCAACTTATTTCAATTAATTCTTTCTTCTCCACGACTATGAACAAAAACGTCGCACTCGAATTCGCCAAGAATAATTCAAATGTGCCGAGTACTCAATTGATACCAGTGCTGTTCAATATTCATGCTGATACCCAAGTAGGTTTAACAAAGCCATTTGCTGATATTACTAAACTGAGTGCACACAAACTAGAATCTGAAGTTCTCTTCATGTTGGGTTCAGTATTTCGACTAGACAATATTCAACATGTTCAAGACGGTGATGATCAAATGACCATCATTGAAATGTCATTGTGTGGAGATAAGCATGGTCTTAAGAAACTTTACAAGCATATGAGAAAACATAATGGTACTGGTGATACCAATCTTTTCTCGTTTGCCAATGTATTAAGACTGATGGGAAAATATGACGATGCTGAAAAGTATTATCGACGTTGCCTTCATGAAATGTCTTCAACTAACCCATTGTTGGGCGATTTGTATTACAATCTTGGTTTGGTTCTCAAATATAGATGCGATTATGATACAAGTTTCGAACTTCATGAAAAAGCACTGAAAATTTTGATGCAACGTCTTCCATCCGATTCCTTGATTATCGGCAACATTCACAATAGCATCGGCGAAATCCATTGGGCAAAACATGATCACGAACGGGCACTACAAGCATTCAATCAAGCCGTCCAACTATTTCAACAAGCGAATCTTAATGATCATTCTGACATGGCCTTGTTTCTTGACAATATCGGTCTTGTTTATCAGCAACAAAAACATTATCCAGAAGCACTTATTTACTGTTCGAAATCGCTGAGTATTCGACAGCAGCGTCTACCATCTAATCATCCTGATTTGGCGATGTCTTACAATAAAGTTGGTATGATCCGTTGGAACCTCGATCAGTCTGATCTCGCAATCGAACTTTTGCAAGAAGCACTCAATATCAGAAAGAAAGCACTCCCTACTCATCATCCAGATATTGCTTTATCTTATAGAGATTTGGGCGTCGTTTACGAAAGCACTGGTCAATACAAGCTTGCATTGAAATCATTTCGACAGGCATCAGAGATTTACTCTAACGTATGGAAAGATGATCATCCAAAGATTGTCGAAATTCATACATATATTGAAAGTGTTTCGCAGAAATGTCCAAATTGACAGCATTAACTTTAAATACAATTAGATGAAATCATCTAAAATCTCCACTTCTGCACAACTGATGAAATGTCACGTGACGAATTATTCATATAAAATCCGACCCAAATTTTTAGCTAAGCTCTTTTTTTCAGCTGTGGCTGTGGGTATCAATTTTTTTTGCCGTCTGCTTACAGCGACACCGTTTTTATCATCTCACGATATTTATCCCTCTGTTCGAGAAGTGAACTGCTTTCGGCAAGAGTGTTAGCATCCTTCTTTACAACCAGCTGACTTTATAAAAATCCATCAGTGAGAAAACCTTGTACTGGTCTATGAAAAATATGCCTTTTTTCTACTATTGCTACCAGTTCCACCGCTTCCTGTTATCAGTTTTTTGTGTCCTTTATCCTTCCGTCCAAGTCACCTACCCAGATCAAAGACGTACGGCGGGAGCCTGCCGGTTCCAGTGATTTTCCCATCAATTCCGCAAGCAGGATTCCTAAATCAGTTCCGGGTCACTTCTCGCTAATTCCAGCCACCGGAACTTATCTACGGATACGGTCCGCGTTTCCAACACGAGTTCCGCCCACGGAAAAGATATTTTCCCCCAGGCCGAAAAGTACGGACCGGTTCCGGCAGAAAATCACCGGGAATAGCCGGAACATGGAAGCAGTATTCCGGCCAGACATTTTTGGAATTTTTTCCGATGATTTTCGGACCAGTTTCTGCAGTATCTAGTGATCGGAACGATGGACCTGGGTTCTGCCGGGATAGGACATGGTCCGGATCCGACCGTTTCTCAAACACGTCCCGATGACGGATAAAACAGTTTTCCCATCGGGACAGGAAACGACCGAGTTCCCACAGTTTCGAGACTCAGTAAAGTCTTCAACTTGGTAAGTAAACCTACAAGAGTCTTAACAGCAGTCTTTCGTTTGTTTCAAAAAAAAACAAACTTGGAATGTGGAAAAAATTCTCTGAGAAAAATAAAATTTTCATCGATACACTTGAATTTTTTCTCAAAAAAAATTCCATTTTCAATTTCCAGATTTTAGTATCTAAAATAAGTAAAAGTTCGGATTTTTTCGGTGGAAAATCTTAGAATTTGATTTTCCATCGATTCCATTGAAAAGATCCAATAAAATTCTTAAAATCAAGGATTTCAAGGAGAAAAGTGTTTGACGTTTTCGCTGGTATGGATTTATCAAAAGCGTCGAATTCTCGATTATATGTTCTCGAAAGTATTTTATATTCCTGCTCAGTTTTCTGTTAAGCGGATAATTATGAATTTTATTCAGAGACGGTCTTAATATTTGAAGCAACACTAATTTTGAAAAATCTCGATGGAAAACGCTTTATTTCGTCTTATTTCCGTAACTTCATTATCGAATAATCTAGGTTTCCCGGGTGGATCCGGGCGGAACGTTGTTTAGATCCAGTGGGTTCCACGATGATCCAAAGTTTTTCCTGGACATTTACGACTCGCGGAACACGCAGGAATTTGGTGGGTTCCAGGTGCGGACAAATTTGGCCGGAATACTGCTTTCATGTTCCGGCGTTATTTCTCGCTGGAACCAGCTGGAAAAGGCGGGAAAATAGACCATTTTCGGCGGGTTCTGACCGGATCCCAAGTCCGCAACGATCGATCTGGGTACTGCTGCTTTTCCAAGTCTATTTCCATTCTTCATGTAGATTCAATCCTACACACTAAAATAACATGCGTCCCACATAGATGTCATTAGTTTTTGTGTCGCTATCTTCAACATGAAAATATTTCATTATAGAAAGGCAATTCCCTCAGGTCGGATCTAAATACTCGATTTAACTGCTTGTTGAGATATGCTGCAACATAGAACAAGTTACTAACGGCTAGTTGTTTCGGATGACTCATTCGACAGCGTGTTGATTACGCCCCTAGTCAATATGCAGAGTAAACCACAACTCCAACATGGATGCCACAATCTTGTGATCCACATGTTCATCGCCAACCCGAAATTCCTAAATGTGGTAGCGTTGGACAAAATGGGTGTAGGTACCGTCGTCCGTAAAAAGAAGAAGACGAAAAAACCAGGCTGCTTGTGGAAACCTTATCGCCCGTCCCAACGGGCGATAAGCCTATGCAAAGATATTATTACACGACACAAAGGAGCGCTCTTTTAAAATCGATGGGATTTCATGTGCCGCAATAAGAATGCCTCCATGAACTATTTTCAAGCCCATTCGAAACTTACGTTGTAGTGCCTCTTGATCAGTAATGGGTGTGGGTGTGGCGTGTGGATGTGGGTGTGGGCATAGGCGTGAGTGTGGGTGTGGATTGATATAAAAAGCAAACCCAAACTAGGGGTGTTAGTTTAACTTAACTTTAAAAATTAAAGTTAAAGTGGCACTTTAAACTTTAACTTTAACTTAACCAATTAAAGTTAAAGTAGATATGTTGACATAGTCTTGGATAATCGTATTAGGAGGGTACCTTTAATTCCTCAAGTCCTATATAATAGGGGTACCCTGAGGTCCTCAAGTCCTATATTCGGAGGGTACCGTTAAGTCCTCAAGTCCTATATTATTAGGGTACCCTTAGGTCCCCAAGTTGAGGACCTAAGGGTACCCTAATAATATAGGTCTTGAGGACTTAACGGTACTCTCTAATATACGGCTTGAAGACTAACAGTCAATGTTCCTAATAACAACAGCTCCATCAAAATTGGTGTATGAGTGTAGATAAAACAAAAACTAATTTCTATTTTAATAGCCTGATAAGCTCTGATCGGTTTCCACAACTTTATTTCATTTTCCATGATAGGTCAATTTTTTGTGCCTGGGGTACCCTTCGGGTATTCGAAAACATTTTTTTGTTTCCGTTTGAGTTTTCACATTTATAAATCGATAGAACTCAGTGTTCTGATTACGAATATCATATTATTTTTCAAAATTCATTGAGTAATAAGAAAAATCTAGACCATTCAAGACAGGCATAAAAA